AGGAGCACCCCAGCCTCCCAGCACCCACCCCTCTGCACATTCCTGGCCTATAGCCAACCCTCACTCACCTGCCCCCACAGAACTGCCCGCAGATCACTCTGTCAGCTTCCCTCCACAGAGTCCTCCCATTCCCCAGCATGGAGCGACGGTTCGGGCTCAGGACTGGTGGGTAGAACCCACAACCCTGCCCCAGCTACATTTCCAAAGTTCTGTCTGAATGAGGTGTGCTTTCAGCAGGGTTAAGAAAACACTGCCACCAGTCCTTACAATTCAGACAGTGGCATCCCTGGGGTACAATGGGACATCCCTGAATCGTCACAGAGCCAGCACATCGGAATCCTTACAAACGCCCTGGAGGCAGGAGCTGTGGTCCCTACCATTTAATAGAGAGTGAGGCTTAGTCACAAAGAGGCCTGTGCACCTACCCAAGGCCATGCAGTTGGTCAGAATCAGTGCTGCCCAGAGCTCCTGTACCCCCAACCTCAAAACTCAGTGCCTCTCGGCTTATCCGCTCTGCTGGTCCTCTGGAGTAATAGTCTCTGTCCTGCTCTCCAGCACCAGGGCCACAAAGCCACTTCATGCCCGTGACTCCCCTAGAGCACGCCCTCACGAGTGGGCAGGCTGCTGAGTTCATGCCTACTCCATCTTACCACCAGGTGGCTCTGGGTGGTCACAGTGTCTCATACACTTCAGTTTTCTCATCTGTAGAATGGGGTCATAACAGAATCTCTCAGAGGAGGCATCAACAAGACAGTGAACCCTACACCACCTAAAGCCTCCGAGCGAGCACTCTGTAGACATCAGCTCTGGCCACTGTGGTCGGGAAGCAATGAGTCCTGTCTGCCACCAGTGGCCCGCCTCACGTCTGCACAGGGTCTTCACCAGAGGCCACAAAGCCTCAGCATTCCGGGGACTCCAGTGTGACATCACCTCTGGCTCCAGGGGGAGTCAGGAGCTGGATACCAAAGTCACATGGGAAGGGCCCTGTGGGAAGCCAGCCAAAAGGACAAGCAGAACTCTCTGTGTCCAGCAGCTCCCCTTATCTCTCGTCTGTGGAGATGCCACCTCTGGACAGGTTCCTTACATACGCCCCCAGGCTCATCTGTGCAGATGAACTGAAGAAATTAAAATGAGCGAAAGCCAAGCCCTGGTGGTCCAGGAGAGCCTTGCGAGCGAGGCCTGCCCAGTCGCAGTGCTGAGCAGGACACTCGAGCCTACAGGCCTGCAGCATAGAGTGGCTTCCCAGATTCACTGGTGGCCCAGTGGCACTGCTCAGTAACCACAGATGTCACCTGAGACCAAGAGATAACAAATCAGTGTCTACCATGAAGAACAGACATCCATTCACACTGGGGTAATGACACACAGGCAAAGCCGGGGAAGCCGTGGACAAGCGATGGACCTTATTAAAATACCTCCTTGGTCCTCACTTGGTCCACAGGGGAGGCAGGAGAGCCAGACCCTCTTCAGTGCTGATGTGTTTCTGTTGCACAGAGCCAGGGGAAGGTTCCTGGAAGACAATTCTGGGCCCTGTGGAGCCAAGGTGCCAAGTCAGACAGACTTCCATGGTTTCTCTTGGAACCAAGGATGAAAAATGAGCAAGTCGGGAGACCTGTTGCTCTGGTCAGAATGGAGGTTTTGGTGCCCTGATGAGCAGCAGACTG